TAAAGTGAATTTATATCCATCACGCATAAGGTACACACCTCAGTGAACTCCATCTCATCCATACCCTCCCCAGTGTACCAATGCAAGAAAGCTTTGCGCCGAAACATAGCAGTGAACTGCTCACTGATGCGTTTGAAAAGTTCCTGGATAGCGGTGCTGTTACCCACAAAGGTGGCAGACATCTTCAAGCCGCGAGGAGGGATATCGCATACTGCAGTCTTGACGTTGTTAGGGATCCATTCCACGAAGTAGGAGCTGTTCTTGTTTTGTACATTCAGCATCTGTTCGTCGACCTCCTTCATGGACATGCGGCCACGGAACATGGCAGCGACAGTCAGGTATCTGCCATGGCGAGGATCGCAGGCTGCCATCATGTTTTTGGCATCAAACATCTGCTGAGTTAACTCTGGAACTGTGAGTGCACGGTACTGCTGGGAACCGCGGCTGGTCAGCGGCGCAAATCCAGGCATAAAGAAGTGAAGGCGAGGGAATGGAACCATGTTCACAGCAAGTTTTCTCAAATCAGCATTAAGCTAAAACATGATGAAACAACAGGAAAAAAATTGAAGTGATCGTAAATGTTTAGCATGATTACATTTAATATAATAGCCTTGGCCTTCGAAAGGGTGTTCAAGCTAACTTGGAAATCAAACGTTTGGACATAAAACTTGCTGACCTATGACTTGTATATAAAACATATATAACAGAGTCAAGCAGACAAAAACATTAGTTTGAGCTTGAGTTGCAACATTTCTAACACTGTGCATAAATTCATGTTTTTGGAACGTATAAAAAAGCAGTAATTTCACGACTATAAAGGAATTTTATTTCTGTGGTCAAATTTACCATAACTTAACTATTGTTTCTTTTTTAGAAAAAAAAAGATAAAAAGTTTTTAGTAAACCTGGCCGGGAAACCGTAGACAAGTCGTTACACCGCTCATTGTGGCGGAAACAAGATGGTTTAAGTCGCCATATGTTGGTGTTGTGAGCTTCAGAGTCCGAAAGCAGATATCGTAAAGGGCCTCGTTGTCGATGCAGTACGTCTCATCTGTGTTTTCAACCAACTGATGAACAGACAGGGTGGCATTATAGGGTTCAACGACGGTGTCTGACACTTTAGGGGAAGGAACAACGCTAAACGTGTTCATAATACGGTCGGGGTATTCCTCACGGATCTTTGAAATCAAAAGAGTCCCCATTCCTGAGCCAGTGCCACCTCCGAGAGAGTGTGTAAGCTGAAATCCTTGCAAACAATCACAGCTTTCCGCTTCTTTTCGAACAACGTCAAGTACAGAATCTACGAGCTCGGCGCCTTCTGTGTAATGGCCTTTCGCCCAGTTATTACCAGCACCGCTTTGTCCTGTATTGTAAATACAAAAAAAGAAAAAGAAAACAACGAGCGATAAGCTCTGGCTTTGCTACCCCGGTTACAGGATTTCTTAGTTTGCGGAAAGGTTCACATGAGAAGCAATTCCAATGATGATCCATCTCATTTGACTTGGAGCGTGGTGATCAGTTTTACTTTCTTTCTCCTCTTCTTCACGTTTCCATTTTTCCGTTTCCACGTTTACGTTTTCATCGTGTAAAACAGGTTGAACGACACAGGAACATTACTAGGTTTTTTTATATGTCAGTTTCTTCTTTCGCAAACTACGTTAAGTATTTACGCTTTTAGCCGACATTTTCGCAAAGGTTTCAAGGAAAAGTCTGGAAAAGTTTCAAATACACAGAAGTTGAATAACTTGTATAAATCAGTGTTTTTTTCTCTTAAATGTATAAACTTATTGACGCTCAGTTGCTGCTATGAGAAAAAAGTCGACAATAAGATCCAGCACACTTTAGAATCTGACAGTTCAACAGGTTGGACTTTGCACACGGACGTTTATGGGTCAGAAAATTAAGCTCATTATTTTAAAGAGGTCTGTTCGTGCGTTGTCTGATTGGTGACTTTGATATCTTGTTGACTAGTATACACATCTGTTCGAGACAAAATATTATCCAAGGCCTAAACTAACCCATATCTTCTTTAAAACTAGCTGACTTACCGAAAACAAAATTATCAGGTCTGAAAATTTGTCCGAAAGGTCCAGAGCGAACAGAGTCCATTGTTCC